GAGGCGATATGAACACGACTGTCCTTTTTATTCACCTTGCGTCTAACACGGAAGAGAACTACAAAAACGTGCACATTACCTACGCGAATAAGGGTACAGCTAAAACGTGTCCACAACCACGTGTCCATAACCACTCAGGCTTCTCTCTGATAATACTCTTACATCATAAGTTTCTCTAGTTATTCTTAAAAATATCTCTCATAAAATTATTGGATATACATGTCTTTTGCTTCTCATATAATGTATGTTTTTCACACAATTTTTAATCGCGCAAATATACAACTTAATATAATCTAATCAAATCTTCGTATGTATGTAAACCTATGTATTTCATATCTTGTGTTTATATATGTTTACATAATGTAGAACAAAATAATAAAGCAAAAATTACTGTCTTTGTTCAATTTTATTCTTCTAATATTTTAATCTTCGAGAATTTAAATTTTTCCTAAATATCGATGATCGATAACACTTTATGTAACTTTATTACCGATCATACGTAATTTTATTCATATTAAATTTTCAATCGTCTATACTTCTATAAATTACGTATTAAACATAAATAATCTTGAAAATTTGGAAAAATTCTGGGAATTTTAATTATTATTTTGATACTTTCCTGATATATAAATTTTTGTACAAAAATTGACATGCAATCTTCAAACTTAAAATGTTATTTCAATCTTTTTATATTCTTGAAAATTACAACATTTTTCCTTCATATAATAAATGTCAAATCTTGTGTTATTTGAAGTATAAAAATAACCACCATGAATATAAAAATAACAAAAAATAAAAAAATAGCATGACATTTTTATGGGTCCATAATACTACAATTATCATATACATTATTATAAGCAAAAAAAAACCTGATTTGTTTTGTAACAAGTACAATAGAGTGTCTCCATAGACACTTTTTTTTATTCTAGAGAAATTAATTTTTCACTCATATATGTATAAAGTAAAACAAAGAAAAACTAAAAAATTTTTTATATATATACATATCAGAAAGACTATACCATTAGAAAAAATTTAAAGATGAAGATGAAAATTTCAGAATAATGGAATGTGATTATAGTATTTTAATTTTCAATTTAATGTTAATAAAAGTGACAAATTATAATATCATCATGATTACAGTTATCGTCCAATTGCATTCCGATATTTATCCAATTATGCAATTTATTTATTTGTAAGTTTAAAGTTGATAAAAATTGGTTATCAAAGTTATTATTCTATTATTATAATGATAAAATAACAATATGACGAAATAACGATGACGAAATAAGAGAAATAAAAAATAATAACAAAAATTATAATTATAATCTAACTATAAAATTATTGGAAGATAGATTTTGATGATAGAAAACAATCTAATGTAAGACATATTGCATGACAAATTATACATAAAATATAATTGCAAAATACCAGAAGACAAATGTTTAAGGATAATATATACACACATGATACATACACACATGATTAAAAACTAATCAAAAATAATTAAATTAAAAAGTAATAATACAATCACAAAAGTAAATTTAAAAAATTAATTTAAAAATTAAATAGACCTTCCTAGATGACTTTGTTTACTTCAGTATTCTTTTTAATTCCCAAATAGAATAATCAATTAGTGACTTTATTCGCTAGAGCATCCAATTCACGAAGAGCTCTTAAATAGAGAATTCTCTCCTATTTCTTTAGGTCCATTATCTCTCGGCTTGATAAGTGTTTAATTGACAGTTTGCCTTTTCATTCTGCCATATTTTATAAACGTTTAAAGTAACGATGCAGTCACCGTTGGAACGAATCCATTTTTTTTTTTTTCCGTGTAGTATATGAAGAAACAGTAGAATGGCATCTCTCAAGAATAAAAACGTTAACAGATATACTAGCTCCCATAATAATAGCATCTCATAACATTCCAAAAACGTGGCCCAATATGATAAATTTCAAAATTCGAATATCGAGCTGAAAACGCGCCATCGCTTTGTCAAGATCAATTAATTTTCTATCGAAAGATAGGTAAGAATCGTCCTCATCTATCAAAGGCCCGACTTCTTTTAAGATTAGAATATCGTTTGTCAAATTAGAAAAACTGATGGACCAAGGGACTGCGAAAGAAGTACATGTGGCTCATCGATATCAAGAACTTTAATACGAAGAATAACATTAGCGAGCGAAACGCGAAGCAGTTCTGCGAAACATATACTTTCATCATTCAAAATATTCTGTAAATTTTATAGGAAAATAATTAAGAGATTATCGCATATGACAAACACAAAATATGATTTCTAAGTATTTTAATTACTTACATCATAAAATGCTTTTTACTAATCTGTACACTCTATCATCTATTATACGACCCGCTCGTTGTATACAATTTGCTTTACTCGCAAACAAAATTTTAAAGTTTGATATCGCGTGATGGATCCTCGATCAGTTGTTTCACAAGGCAAAAGTCTATTATTGGAAATTATGTATCAAATTTCCTTTTTTTTTTTTTTTCCACTTTTCGATAATCATTATATTATTTTTTAAATATTTTTAACATTTCTTTTCACAATTAAACCGTTTTTTTTCCCTTTTCATATGAATTAAACGTATAATTTATATAAAAATTGTATACCATATTTTACACTCGGCACAGTAATAATGCTTTCAGCAATATTTGTAGAAAGTATAACGTGACTATAATCTTTCAATGGTTAGTGAAAAAACACGTAACTGTCCGTCATCATACACAGAAATCAATGAATGTAAAATCACTAGATCTCATAATTTATCTTTGCGACAAGTCAATGTCAAGTAATTATATAACTCTTCAATTCCATAAAGTCCTGAAAAATACATGAACAGTACGTCTTTGAAATGAATTTCAGTCTCCTGCATTATCATTTATGTCAAATTTT